GGGATGGATCCCATGAATTTGGGTGCCCACGAGGGTTAACATCCCTAGGGATGGATCCCATCAATTTATGTCTCCACGGCTTTGGGTGCCGGCCTCTCCTCCTGCCCAGCGCTGCTCCCCGTGACCCGGAGCCGGCGGGCGGGGAGGGCCGGGGCGGTGCCGCTGGCGGGCCCGTCCCTTTCCCTCGCCCCGCCGGGGCGGGCCGGGGCCGCGCCGGTGCCCGGGGCCGCACGGCACCGCACCGGGCGGGCGGGGGGTCCCGGCGGTGCCATGGGGCCGGGGCGCTGGGCGGGCGGGGGGCGGCGTGGGGCCGTGGCGTTGCTGTGGCTGGCGGCCGTGCTGTGCCAGCTGGGCAGCGGCAGCGTCCTCCGCCGCCGGCTGCACGCCGCCGGGGTCCCGCAGCGGCGGCTGAGCGGCGGCGAGCGGCGGGACGTGCAGCGGGAGATCCTGGCCGTGCTGGGGCTGCCCGGCCGGCCCCGGCCCCGCGGCGCCGCCCGCGCCCCCGCCGCCGCCGCGCCGCTCTTCATGCTCGACCTGTACCACGCCGTGGCCGGCGAGGAGGAGGAGGAGGAGGGTGAGGAAGCGGCCGTGTCGCGCCCGGTGCTCACCGGGCTCAGCACGCAGAGCCCCCCGCCCGGCAGCGTGGTGAGCCGCGCGGACACCGTGGTCAGCCTCGTCAACATGGGTGAGAACCGCCGCGGGGCACCGGGATGCGCGGGGCACCGGGAGGACCGGAGCGCACCGGCGGTACCGGGATGTGCGGGGCACCGGGAGGACCGGAGCGCACCGGCGGTACCGGGATGTGCGGGGCACCGGGGGGACCGGAGCGCACCGGCGGTACCGGGATGCGCGGGGCACCGGGGGGACCGGAGCGCACCGGGGGCACGATCCCAGCGGCTTTGGCAGGACCGGGGCACCGGGACGATCGGAGCGCACCGGCGCTCACCGAGAGTACCGGGAGGGGATACCGGGAGGGGATACCGGGATGTGCGGGCGGTATCCCGGCGGTTTTGACAGGATCGGGAGGCACCGGGACGATCGGAGCGCACGGAGATGATCCAGGTGGTTTAGGCAGGACCGGCGGGGACCGGGACGCACGGAGGCACCGGGGGGACGGGCAGGACCGGCGAGGAGGCGGCGGCTGAGCCCGCAGAGCCGGGAAGGCACCGAGGGGACACCGGGGGACAGCCCCGGCGGGGCGGGCACGGGGCTGAGCTGACCCCAATCCCAGCTCCCGGTCCGTGACTGTGGCACCGGCAGCTCCGGGCATCCCTCGGGGTGGTTTCTCAGTCCTTTTGCCCAAAGTTAAGCTCAGGAACGGGGAGAGCGGCCGTGAGGGACACGGTGGCCGTGAGGGACACGGTGGCCGTGAGGGACACGAGTTGAAAGTGGCCGGGATGAATCCCAAATCCCCTTAAAAAAGGGGAAACGGAGAAGGGGAGTGCCCTGCAGCAAGGGCAGCTGGGGGAGGCTCTCCCCGTTTCGGTGGGCAGCGAACGGGGCTCAGGAGAGGCGGGCCAGCAGCTCTGGGTGACCCTCGGTGGGACGCTGAATGACGGCTCCAAATAAAACCCTCGAGGCTGTTAATTATTGCTGGAATCCCGTCCAGCTGCTTCGCAGGCTCCAGCTCCAGCATCCCTCGTATTTCCAGGCAGTGGCGGAGCTGTTCCCAGCATCAGCGGCGCCACAAACACTCGGGATGAGATGAGCTCAGGCACTGGCGTGGCCTGAACCCAGTGGGATTTGCAGATTGGGAGCTCGGATATGGGGATTTTCCCTGCCCCTGCTCTTTGCTTTAAGGGGTGTTTGGGTGCCCCGAGCACAAAATCCACCCCAGCCTCTGAGGATGGCGAGAATCCCTCCTTGGAGATTGGAGGCAGGGAGGGGGATCTGCACCCTTGGGAGGGGGTTTAGGCGAGGGAGGGGGTGTAGAGGTGTCTCCCACTCATTCCTACACCCCCTGGACCACTTGTGGGTGTGAGGAGTCTCCCGGGGACAGACCCAGGTGCTTGGGGTGCCAACAGGGCACCCAGCTCCCCTCCAGAGTCCTGAGGGAAGTGGAGCTCAGCAACGTGGGAAAGCTGAGAGTGATGGAGACAAAACCCGAAACACGGAATCCCCTCAGCACCTGGGACAACACCCAAACCCCAAAATGGGCTGTAAAATGGCCGGGTTCGATGGCAACCGGC